GATTTAATAGAAGATACCTCATAATAATACATATTACCTGATCTGCTAATTGAGCCTACTCCACCAAAATACTCCTTAACTTGCTCCAACAATTTAAAGTTTAAAGGATTTATCTCAGCACATATAGAATATACAATACTTAAATGAAAACCAAACGGACTATTAGATTTTGTACGTAAACGAATAGAAAAGCTACCTTCTCCATCTGTATAACCAGTGATAAATCAAGGATGTAATTTACCATTTGTTTTAGAACTAAAATAGCGTTTATTTACCATAGTAGCGGCCGAACCACAAAATTATCCTGTTATTAACCCTTAAAAGTATTCTTTTCTGCCTGGGAAGAAATAAAAAATAGGAAAGAAGACTAATAATATATTAATAACTTTACGGAAAGGCTATTGCGGTATCTTTAATCTTGAATTACTTAATTTCTTCCAAGAGCCGGTTTCCCGGTGACTAGAGTACACCTTACAACTATAAGCACATATGTATATAATTGAAGAACCATCTACTCGTTGCTCTTTTACAGACCAGATTACTTTTTAATACGCCAAACTTGACTATATAAAGCATACTTAATCTGATTTAGATCCGCGATAACCCATTTCAGTTTCCTTCATCTATAGTGATGTTACCATACCCTGGTGATTAGTCAGGCCAGTCATCTAGTTTCCTAGTTAACTTTGGTTACTATAGCTTTAGGGCTTCCCCGGAATTTGGTTCTTGTACACAAGAGTGAGGAACCTATTCTCACTTTTTATGTATTAATGCGGAAACAGGAGTAGGACCTTCCATCGCCATAGGTAATCAAACGTGAAGCGATAAATGGACTATATCTTTAAATAATAATACATATAAGTATTGACTATTTACTCTGAGTAACTAGAGTTTAAATAAATATTTATTAACTCCAGGAGGGGGATCCCTCAGTCTCTGGGGGTATTCTAAGTCATTAACTGAAAGATTAAATTTTAGGTATTTTTCTTAACTGGTTTATTAAGCTAGCTTTCTTTTTTAGTTGATCATAATCAACTATTTCTGTAGATGGTTTATTTTTTCTTTTATCATAAATTTCCAATCATTTTTCTAAAGACTCGGCTTTAACTGAATGTAATTTATACCTAGATAAATAATCGATAATAATATCTAAAGCGCAAAAATTAACGACAATTCGACTGTAACTTTTCCGTAACTCATAGTTACCCTTTAATAAATCCTTTAGGTAAAAAAATTCAGGTTCTGCTTTTTTTTGTGCAATAGAAAAACGTTGGACTATTCTATTTTTAGAAACAGATACGAAAAAACTACCTTCAGCATCTACAAATCCACTTAATCAACCGTGATTAAGTGTAGGGTAAAACTCATTTTTCTGGTTTAATTTAACATTAGTTTTGTTTTTTAAATTATAATTCTCTACTCATTTTGCAAATTGTAT